GTCACTCTCTTCTTATTAAAGCAGCAAAACAAAGTAAATGCTTCCTTGACTTTGTGTATTCTTCTGCAATCCCCTTTTCTCTTTCTCTTATCCAGTCTGGAAATCTTTATTTTAAAATTGGATTATTTAGTATATTTACATTTATTGTAGTCATGGATATATTTGGATTTATTTTCACCATCTTATTTTGCTCTTTCTATTTATCCCACTTTACCACAGGATGAGTATCCCTTATCTGAAATGCTTGGGATCAGAAATGTTTTGGATCATGGATATTTTTGGATTTCGGTAAGTACGATGCAAATATTTTGGAAAGTTTGTATTGTACTTACCTGTAGAGCATCTCTAATCTGAAAATTTGAAATCCAAAATGCCCTAATGAGCATTTCCTTTGATCATCATGTTGGTGCTCAGAAAGTTTCACATTTTAGATTTTCAGATTAGGAATACTCAACATGTAGTGTCATTTTCCTTTCCTTTCCTGTCTTCTTTTGAATTATTTTTTCTCATCCTATTTCCTTCATTCTCTTAACCCAGAATTTATTCACTCTTTTTCTCTGTTCATAAATGCCTAACAATTAGTAAAGTATGCATGAATTCATATATAACTTACACATTTTTTATTTCACCCTCATTTTTTTTTAGAGACAAGGTTGTACTCTGTAACCCAGGCTAGAGTATAGTGGCATCATCATAGCTCACTGCAACCTCAAATTCTTGGGCCCAAGCAATCCTCCCACCTCAGTCTCCTGAGTAGGTAAGCATGCACCACTACACTCAGCTAAGTTTTGTAATTTTGGTAGAGACTGGGTCCTGCTATGTTGCCCAGGCTGGTCTCAAACAACTGGCCTCAGTGATCCTCCTGCCTTGGCCTCCCAAAGTGCTGGGACTACAGGCATGAGCCACTATGCCCAGCCTGTTCTCTAGTTTTTGACTTCAGTATTCTCTACTTTCTTGCTAGTTTACTGAGCATTCTGAGTTGAAGGTTTGCTCAGGGAACCTGGTCTACCATTCTGAAGGAAATCCAAATCTCCCTTTCCCATCATGGCCAAGTTCTTTTAAAGAAGAGATGACACATAGTCTTCCTAAGCTTTCTCCTCCTATTCACTTGTAGCCCCATGAATTCAGGCCTCCACCCCACCCTCCACTGAACCTGTTCAGGTAAACATCATCAGTGGGCTTCATGTTATGAAACCCAGGAGCCTCTTGTTCCTCACCTTGACCTATTCTCAACTTAGACTCTATGGCCCTCTTGAAAGCCTCTCCTGCCTTGGTTTTCATGATTCTGTGCTCTCCAGGTTTTCTTTCGACTTCTGTAACTGTTCCTTCTCTGTCTCCTCTTTCCTGCCAGTGTTGCTGTACTTCCAGAATTCTCATGGTCCCTTGAGTTGCTTGGACAGCTATGACTTCCAAATCCACATCTCTGTAGCTGCAGGTACCTACAAGTGGTCTTTCAAATCCAGTCTATCTGACAGGGGATTCATTTTCTTTTTCCCAAACCTGCCTTTCTTATTCTGCTGCATGGAGCCACTGGACAGCCAGTCACTTTCGTCAGGTTATCCTGGAATCATACAGGGCTATCCCCTTTCTTCATCTCCCATGTCCAATCAATCTTGTCATTTCTACTTGTCTCAAATATTGGATCTATTTCTCTTTCCCATCTCTATTGCTGCTGCCTGGGGTCAGGTCCTTCTCCCGTCTTGTCTGGGCTATGGGAATTGCCTTGGTTTGCTTACCACCAGTCCTGCCTTCCTCCAACCATCCTCTGTACAAAGGTCAAGTTCATTTGGGTCAGCAAAGTGACCTTCCTAAAACACAAATAGGATCACATTACTCCCCTGGTTAGAACCCTTCCAAGTACACTGGAGAAAAATGCACTTCCAAGTGTACTTTCACATCTGCCTATCTCTCCAACATTACCTTTCAGTTCACCACCAGCCCCCTCCAACCCGCACCCTCTGGGTGTGCTGCTATGCTGCCCACAGTTCCCTAAATACTAGACAAACGTCTCTTGTCATCCTCTGCTTTGCCCTTGTGCTCATTTCTCTAGGCCTCAGTGGCCTCATCCATAAATTGGGCACACTGACGTGCTTCAACTACTTCATAAGAGTGTAGCAAAGGCCAAATCATAATAATAAATAATCTTTTTATATTGCTTCCTATATGTCAGAGATGATGTTAAGTGCTTTACATATGATATCTTATCAATCCTCACAACATCTCTATGAGATAGAACTATTATTAGCCCCATTTTATAGATGAGTGAATTGAGCTTTAGGGATGTAAAAGATCTTGCCCAAAGACAAATGCTATCAAGTGAGCTAATGGAGGTGGCATTTGGTCTGTGAACCCAGCATTCTGGTTGTCTGGTCTGTATATTTAGGCATGTGGCTGACATTACTCTCTAGGAGTAAAGCAACCACAGGTCCCTTCTGGGACCTCTGGTCTTGCAGCCACAGTGGCAGCACTTAGCAAACATAAGGAAGGACAGCTCCTTCCTCCTTGGCCTCAGAGATGTGCTCCTGAGAGGTTAGCTTTCCCTTCCCAACTGCAGGGGTTGGTGACCGTACTGGGTTGAATAATGTCTCCCCCTACCCCCGCCCCCCAAATTCATGTCCACCCAGAATCTGTGAATATGACCTTACTTGGAAATATAATCTTTGCAGATATAATCAAGTCAAGATTATTGGAACTCATACTGAATTAGGGTGGGCCCTAATCCAATAACTGGTGTCCTCATGAGAAAAGAGAAATTAGGACACAGAGGTAGAGACAGAGAGAAGACAACCATGTGGAGATAGAGGCACAAGCCAAAGAACACCAAAGATTCTGGGAACCACCAGAAGCTACAGTGTTTCCCTGAAAATAAGACCTACCCATAAAATAAGCCCTAGCAGGATTTCTAAGCATTTGCAAAATATAAGGCCTACCCTGAAAATAAGACCTAGTGATGGGCGTGGCTACGCAGCATATCTGCACAACCCATGTATTTCGTAATGGAGCGGTAAAGAAGATGAGCAGCCTTTCTCATCTGCCCCATGAGAGCTCTATTGCTCGACATGAGAGATTGGGGCCAATGGTTCTAAAGGAAATAGAGTCGCAAGAAATTCAGGATGGAATTCAGGATTTGGAGAGTTATGATGATGTTCCAGAAGAAGACAACTTAACTCTATTCGAATAAATGTAGATTGTTGTACCGTACTTAAAAAAAATAACAGATCCCCTGAAAATAAGCCCTAGGGTGTCTTCTTGAGGAAAAATAAATATAAGACCCTGTCTTATTTTCGGGGAAACACAGTAGAAGAGGCAAGGGAGGATTCTTCCCTAGAGACTTCGGAGAGAGCATGGCCCTGCCAACACCATGGTTTCAGATTTCTGGCCTCCAGAGCTGGGGGAGAATAAATTTTTGTTATTTTAAGCTACCAGTTTGTGGTACTTTGCGGTACTTTCCTACAGCAACCCTAGGAAACTGAACCTACCACTGTGTCCACCACAGCTGGGTGGAGGGAGCACAGTTTGGGAGACCAGTCAGATGGCCTGGGAGGGGGCGTTGTGCCTATCTGGGGGAGATGAGGAGGGCAGAATAAAAGGTGTTTGCTCCTCTAGCTACACTAATCAACTTGTAGACAGTGCTTCTACATGACTTCGCAGTGGTGTGTTTGTGTGTGTTGTTTCTGGTGAATGTGTCTGCAGTTTTATTTTTTTCTGTATATGAGGATGGGAGTTCTTCAGGTTGTTGACAACTTATAAGGTGAGCATTCCATTTGAAAATTTTTTCCCCTAGTGGCCATCCCAAACTGTGCTTAGAGAGGTTCAAACCTTACCCACATTTTCACAGCCAATTAGTAATAAGTGGAATTCAGATCCAGAACTCTGGAAACTCCCAGAGACCCTGCCCTTTCATGATCTCAAGCTGTTTCTCAAGCTAAAGAAAGTAAACTCTTTCCAAAAAGATATGGGGTGATTTGGTTTACCTTTTATAAGAATTTTTTTCTAAGTTTGAAAGTAATACTTATTTGGAAAATATTTAGAAATTACTGAAATGTTTAAAGAAAAAGTAAAAAATTATTCCCAGCATAACTACTGATAATATTGGCTAATATCGTTCCAGTTTTTTTCTGTACAAATATATATGATCCGTAAAACTTGACTAATACTGTAAACTGTTTTATATTTTGCTCTTCATTTAACATTATCTCATGTTATTGTTTTTTGTAAGCATGATTTTTAATTACTAAATAATGTTTCATCATATGGATGGGCCATAATTTATTTAAGTCTTCTATTATTGTTTTCTTAGTTTCCAGCTTTTTACAATGATAAATATGCAATTTACCATTTTGCGTAAATATTTGTTCTCTTATTATTTCTTGAAAACAGGGGATAATACCGGGTAAATCTGTATGAATATTTTAAGGCATTTGCTACAACATGACAAATTGTTTACCAAAAGGGTTCTACCAGCAGAACGAGAGTGCCTCTCACGGCACCCTCACCAGGATTTGAGTATCATCATTAAAAAGCCTGGGTATGTTTTGAAAAGGAGCATGCCATGGTTCCATCACACTGATTACAGTGTCCAGAGGATTGCAGGGGCAAGGCCAGCCAGCGAAACCGGTTAGGAGACCGCTGCGATGATCCCGGTGGGACGTGATGGGGGCTTGAGGCTAGGCAGCAGGGATGGAGGAACGAGAACACACGCGGGGCTCGTAGAATATTCGACGCGGGGCGGGGGATCGGTGCTGATCCTGCGCTGCGCCGGGTGCAGGGGAGGGCGGAGGCTGCACGTCCGGCTCTGGCCTCCTCCGCGCCTCGCTCAGCACCGACCTGTGAGGTTGGCCGAGGCGCGAACCCCGCCCACCCCTTTAACAGGGACACTCCCCTTTAAGGCGGGCGCCTGCGCGCACCCCGGCCCCGCCCTTCGGGGGCGCGCGCGGCGGCCGCGGCGCCGGCTCCGCCGGGAGCGCACGTGCCGGCGCCGGGCGGAGGAGAGGGAGGCGGGAGCGGGGCCGCGGGAGGAGGGGAGGCGCCGGGGGCGCGCGCGCGCGCTGGGCGCTGCTGGGCTGCGGCGGCGGCGGCGGCGGTTACTATGGCGGAGTCGGCCAGAGCCTCCTCCTTCTTCCCCCTTGTCGTCCTCCTGCTCGCTGGCAGCGGCGGGTCCGGGCCCCGGGGGATCCAGGGTGAGTCCTGGGGCGGGGGGCGGGGGCCGGGATGGAGAGGGCCGGGCGAGGGCGAGGCCTCGAGCCACGGTCCCTGGGCTACAGCGCGCCCCCTCCCCACGCGCACAATATGGCCGGGCGGGGGGCGCGGAGGAGTCGGGGTGACCCGCGGTCAGCTTCCCCCGACCTCCGAGGCGCTGCAGCTCAGCGGCGACCGAGCACACGCCGGGCCCCTGGGGACCTGAGCCCTCTTCCAGGCAGAACTGGATTCGGGGAGCTCTCGGGGGTCGCGCTCCCAGCACCCTCCTGTTCCATAGAGGGGAGTCTGGGCTTCCCTCCCCAAGATTTGGAGATCTATGGTTTCTACCCTTCAACGTGTCCAGGGCAGAGGGGCTTTATTGCCTCCCTCCAGATGCTCCTGGGGGGCGTCTTTTCTCCCGCCAAGACTGTGGGGATCGGGCATGGGGTCTTTGCTCCTCCAAGGTATCCTGATGTTGAGAGCCCTTGCTCACCTCAGGCTACAGGGGAAGGGGTCTCTAACCTTTCCTTCAGGTCCTGCACTTGGGGTGTTTCTTCCCCTCCCTCCCTAATGTTTTGGGAAAGGGAGTCACATTTTCCCTTCACTCAGTCCCCTGAGTTCAGTGGGGCAAAACCCCTCATCTCCAGCACACATGTCCTGTGGAAGCTATTTGGAGGAAGTGGGACGAACAGGCCCCTAAACGTTTTTGGAGCTTGGCTTTGGAGTCTCTAACCCTATGAAACCTAGTTTCCCAAGGGTTAGTCTGAGTCTAGGTGTATTTGCTTTCCTCCTCGCTTTCCTCACCCCACCCCAGGGGGCCCATTCAGTTAATCACTTTGTGGATGCCTTTCAGGTGAAATTCTAGAACCTGCCTCCAATCCCCAAGATTATTTAAGAATCCCACCTCTGGAGTGTCTCTCCAGACCTTGGTCAGTACTTATTTACCTTCCCACACGCTCCCTCTTCCCAGCCCAGCCCAACCCTGGTTCCCTCACCCTCACACACCCCTCGCCTTCCAACCCCCACAGCCTGCTGCTGCCTGACACCACCCCCACCCTTCCCACTACAGAGGTGGGTTCCATTCTGTGGGACACTCTACTGGGTGTGTTGTTTATGAGGCTTTGGGGGCTGACAGAGTGGATGAAACCCTAAAATATTTCATTTAAGAGAGTCATCTCAAATGTGTTTTGGCATTGGGATAGCAGATGAAGGTTATATTTGGCAGTTATATTGAAGTGATTATTGACCCACAGATGGATCTGGGAGAGATGATCAGGACTGTATTCTCTCCCGGTGTACAAAGCCTGCTGCTCTGACTTTTCAGCAGCCCCTAACCTTCCAGCAATAGGAGATCCAGTGTGTGTTCTGTGGCTCTCCTCGCCACTAAAAAGAATGATTCTCAGGTGGGTTCAGGCTTCTTTAACAAACCAGACAAGCAGGAAGAGACACTATGCCACTTTGGAGTCTCAAAAACAAATTCATTATCTCTGGCTTTGATATTTGTTCCCAGTGGTGTAGCCTGTGCAGTGGGGTCTTTGTTCACTGGTTAATGCTTCTGTTAAGCACCTCGTGTGTGTTCTTCGGTCTCGCTGCTCTGTGGCATGGGTATCTGCTGTGGGGTCGGATAAACATGGTGAAGGTATATGAACACAGCCTAACATTTGTGATGAGATAATGATTTTCATGAATAAGGATGTTTGCCGGGCCTTATTATGGGCCATATTTTTGGAATGTGTAACAATGTTCTTAAGTGGTGTAGTAAAAGAAAAAGGAGGCTCAACCTTCAGGTTTGTCTTTTTATGTGTGTAGGAATAAATCTTTAAATTTCTTGCATAGGAATTTTTTATCATGCCCCTAATATATCCAAGATTTTTAACAATCATTTCCCAACTGATTTGGTGTGGTGTTTGTGGGTTTTTTCTTGTTGTGAGGCTAGTTAAGAATGTTTAATTGATAATCCAACTGGTTCCGAATGGGGCAGAGTTCATTTTTTGTAACCTTCCTAAAATGGTTGGTTGTTGGGGTGAAGGTGGGTGGGCATAATGGGGAGTTAGTTTCTTTTTTTGGTAAATTGGAAATTAGGTTGTGTGTCCAGCAAACATTCTCAAGGGCCTTTTAACTTTTTGGCCAGACACTACAGTTTTTTCCGGGACACATCTAGTTGCCAATAGTGCATGTTATGGAGACCACTGTTGCAAAAGGCTCAGAGTGAAACGTCAGTTCTGGGAAAATAGAGGCTGTAGGATAACAAGAAGTTGATTTTTTCCCCCTCCCCTGTGTTTCCTATATAGTACTCCCCTGTGTGGGCCGGAGGAGTGGCAGAGCCAGGCAGCTCTGATGCCTGGAAGTTGGACATGATATGAGGGCAGTAAGGGATAGGTGTTTCTGTTAATTAATAAATTAAGTAGGACTTAGTAAGAGGCTAGCGATAAGGAGAGTGAGTTTAAATTAGAAACAGCATCCGTTTGGTATGTGTACATTGTTTTAAGGCCTAGCTTTGGAATTTTCAGATTAGTATTTTAAAATGTAAAATTGAGTTAGTAGCAGGAGAACATGACATTCATTTCTTAAGACAAAAGCAACAAGAGAGACATTTGACATTCTCATAGGAACATTTTGAATTTCTGTAAACAGACTAAAAATCTAATTTCAAGCCAAGTCTTGTAATTTTGTTGAGTGGACATGGATTTGAAATACAGTGGAAGTGAACTCTTGTAAAAGAAAAGAGAATCTCTGATTAGTTTTGTTTAAACAGCTCCTGGAAACAGATGTGATAAAACATATTAAAATGGCTACTCTGGTTAAAGGTTAGAGCCAGATGGAGGGAGGAGGCTGGTTTTCAGCCCTAGAACTTCGCTCCCTTGCAGATTGTCCTTGAACAAGTAACTTAACCTTTCTGTGACTGCCTCAGTTTTCCCTTGGTAAAGTAGGGAAATATTCTGTGTCACTCTTATTGGGACATTTGTGAGACTGACTTACTGATAGCCAGTTGGCAGGGAGGTATTTTTAGACACAGTTTCTGACTTCAGTGAATAAGCAATGTTGGGTTACTTTTTATCTTATGGGGCAGATAACATACTCTGTGATTGATAGATGCACCACATGTCACAGTGCAGTTAATTTCTTATTTCTGCTTTTTTGTAGACCTGTTTCAGATTACCTCAAGTTAATTTCTGTCTCTGGCAGGCTCTTACATCGGAGACGGGGCAGCATACCTGTGCTAATCAAAGGCAGTCTGGAGGGAGTGACCTGCTTTAGGCTTTATTGGTTTGGCAACGTTTTAATTCTTACGCAACTCTGGGTATGTTTATGGCACTATGTAAATGTTACATAAGAACATGGAGGCTGAGAGGTGGCCAGAATGGTGACTCTGAACACAGGAAGGTTAGACTGAGGACTTCATCTGAAAGGACCTTGGGAATCTGCAGTCAGTCCAGGAGGAAGCTGCACTTTATTTTCCTCTAAAAACCTTTCTAGATGATTGTGTCTTTCAGGTGGACTGCTGTGTTATAAATAGGTTTATTCTCCACCGGTGAGCTAATTGTAACCTTGCTACCAAAATATGAATCAGTAAATGTTGAGACGTGCTGCTTCTTTCAGCATGTCCTGTTGAAGCTGCTTGTTGCATTTTGGAACATGAGTTGAATTGCGTTGCAGTCTGTTCTCATAATAACTCAGGAGTACAGGGTGTTGAGGTGGAATGGAATTCTCAGTTCATGGCGCTTTAGGTCATCTTTATTTTTGAAGGTTAAATTAGAATACTGAAGTGGCTCTTTTGTTTTAATTTTGAAACCTTTATTGTTTACTGTTCAGTTTTTGCTCAGAGCAGCAGTGAACATTAATTCTGGAATCTCGCATCTTTGTCTTGAGTTCTTGTGTTATTTGTCTGTTGTAGCAGGAGTTGATATAAGAGGGTCTCATCTCATTTTCATTTCTGTATTTATAAAAAGAAAATCCTATAGTCTTTCTCATCAATCCCTCTGATACGGGACGTGCTGCAGGCGTCCATAGCCCATCAGTTCCACCTGGACTGGGAATGTGGAAACCTTTTAAGTAATCAACTGCTCAGATCCAATGTTTCCTTGCAGTCTAACTTGAATTTCTTTTACTCTGCAGGCACTACCTCATGGCCACGTTCAAATACCTGCTCTAGGTTTTTGCTCTTCTCAGTTTTTCTATCGCATGCGTGGTTTAACCCGATCTTGGGTTTCAGAGGCACCATCTCTGCTCTTGTCTATTTGTTCTCTCTGCTTGCTGGCTTCTCCATTATGGATAAATGGAACACCAACCAAAATACTGTTTCTTTCCTTTACTCTGTAGAGTTACCAGAGTTTGGTTGAGCTGTGAAGTTTCCATCCTAGGCAATCTTATCTGCTCTCTAGGTTTCGGAGACAATGCCACTTCAGGCAACTCTGGTCTTTTTGGTTTTCTTTTTTCTCTACCCAGTCTGAAGCCTGCATTTGTCTTACTAAATATTTTAAATTTAACATAATGAAAGTAACTGCCTTTCCCTTTAAAGTATCACGTCACCCCTAATATTTACACAGTTACATATAGGAGATTTCTTTATTCATTCTGTTGGGTATGTGCCTGGAATAGTTTTTGGCATGGGAAAATAACAGAGAATAAGATGAACAAAAGTCCCTAAATCTGTAGTGTTATGGAATTTACAATTGCAGTGGATTATACTAAAAATAAATATGTAAATACAATTAACGGTCATGAGTGCTGTGAAGAAAATAAAACAAGATGATGTGCTATAGTGTGACTGGAGCTACTGTTTCACACCTCTCTCAGTTTCATTGTTTTATCTGTAAAATGGGGCTAGTATAGTCAAGTCTCATTATTTGTAGTAGTTATGTTCTGTAAAGTTGCTGCTAACACTGAATTAGCAGATCCTGAACCATTGCTCCTAAGGGAAATACAGGGTTAGGTTCCTGTGGACCTCTGGTCACATTTTTATCAACCTTTCAGTATATAACCTTGTCTTACGTGTTTCTGT